AACGGCGCACACAGACACATGCTGAGTAAATATCCTTGCTTTAAATCTCTTTCCTTGTCTTATTTTTTAAATTCTTTATAGAAATAAATACGGACGTTTTTGCATGGAAGCGAAGTTAGTTCAGTTTCTGTGCTGTATTGAAAGCCACAGGGCAGCTCAGGGTGGTGGCCTGAAAACAGTGTCTTAAAAAGTATCAAAAGGTCAAGTTGCGGAGCCTCGCTCCGCCGCCGAGTCCGTTCACTCCTCGCACTTCGACTTTCCGTTGTTGCTGGTTTTGAGGCACCCCTGGATTCTTCGGTCTGCTCAGCCCAACCCGGTGAAAACTCTTCCGTTTCCCCTTGTCTTCCTTCCCTGCTCTCTCCAGATAGCGATACAAAACAGAGGTTGGCAAGCTGGCCACCGACTTGTGTGCACAGGGGCGGCCCATTCCCGGAAGGCGGCTTCCTAGCAGGCAGTGCTTCTCGGGCAGGGAGACCCCCTCCTGGGGCTTTCTCAGGACGGCCCCCTTTCTGCAACTCTTCCCACACACTTTGGAAGGGGTGGGCTTTGTGCTCCCAGATGAGGGAAGCAAAATCTCCAAGCTTGCGCAAGTCTTGCAGAAAAATCGCGGCACCAGCAACAGAACTTCCGAAAACCAGGTCCCTAGCTCTGCGGACTCGCTGCCTGAGGCAGGGCGCTGGGCTGAAGCAAAGACAGGCCTGTGTACTAGACCCTGGGGAATGGCTATTCCGATGGCACCGTGACTTGCCGTTTGCCACCAAGTGGCTCCGGTGGCCCCACCCGCCTTCCAGGACGCCTTCCCTGCAGGTATTTCGGAGGCACCGAATGTGGTGTTTTGTAGGCACCTGTTGAAGACCGATCCTCTTACCCAGACCTTCCCTGAAGCATCGCTCTGCCCAGTTCATTGGTCTCATCCTTACCATCTTTTTAGTTTTAAATACTTCAAAATTTTTAGCCAAAGAGCTTTTGTCTTTGATATCATAACACTTCATGACGGTAGGACCTGAGCAGCTCCAGAGTCTGGATCCGGGCTCCATTCGCCCTTTGGCACCTGAATGGCAAAGGCCGCAAAGCCGCGTTGCACCCTTGGCTTTCCCCTCACGTGGAGAGCTCCAAGCCCCCAAAGCCCCTGTGAGGCCTGAACCGGGCTTCCCGTGGCACTTGCCTTGCAGGGTCTGCAGGCCGGCTGACTTCAAGTGCGTGGTCCACTCTGTGTGTTACTACAACCCCAAGGCCACTGACCGGAGCTGGGTGCCAAACAGTGGCTAGCGTGGGTGGGAAGCAGCCTCTCTGAAGGGGGCAAAGGCCCCCCCGTGCGCCTTCTCAACCCAGAATTGGCTTTCAGCACCAGGGCGAGCTCGGGATGCTTCCAAACAGATCCCTCCCCACCCCTTCGCCTCTCCTCCCCGCCAGGCTTCCTTTCGACAGCTTCCTCTTGGGTGACTGGAGGTGGGGTCGATCCCTCTCATTATTGCTATCACGGGACCAGTGGGGTCAAGGCCCCTTGATCTTTTGCACCAGTATATCCCAGTCGAGTTTCTCCACTCCAGATGACAGTCTCGGTTATCAAATGAATGGAGCAGGGAGGGAAAAAGGGATTCCCTTCCGGGAGAGAGACGATTTTGAGCGCAGAAAGCTTCACGCAGCGTCCCTGGGGTTGGAAAGCCACGTCTTCAGTCCAGGGGAGCGGCTGCTGGTCTTGCCGCAGGGCTCAGCAGCTTCCCACCTTCCCAAGTTGGGCTGATGGCTCCGGAAGGCAGGCCTTGGAACTGCCAAATCCAAACGTGGCACAGCCTGCGAGCTGGCATTTCCTTGGCATGGAAAGTCGTACAGTTCAGCATCTCATGGGCTCCCAAAGCTCTCGGCCAGCTTCCTATCAGCCGCTAAGCCAAGCCTCAAATGGTGCCAGCTGGAGTTCATCCAGGACCAACGTCCCACAGGTCTCTGGAGTCCTAATGAAGGAAATACTTTTCGGACGGAAAAGTCTGCTCAGTGCAGAACGATCCCCTCTTTGCCCCCTCGCCAAAAAATCAGTCACAGCCAGGGCTGGGTTTCCCTGTGGGGCTGAGATACAAACACGGCATCTGGAATCGATTGCACCATGTCGCCACCCCATAAATGACGACTTTTATCGAAACATTTAAAAGGAAAAACAAGTTTCAAGCCCCCGTGATTTCACAGAAAAACTGGCGAATGTGTGCAAAGCACACGGTGAAGCGGGGCTTGGTTTTTGAGTTCGGCACGGCCCCTCGCCTCCCTCCGAGAGCTGCTCTTTGCTGGACCCTGCTTCCATACCTTCCCCACCCTCAAGCGCCTTACCCCCCCTCTTTTCATTCATACTGTCTACCCGAGAGAACACCCTGTGCACCGTTTTTTGAAAACCTGGGTCTTGACATCAGCTTAAACTATGCTCCTTGCATATAATCTTGGAGCCATCCCAGCCAAGTATTTGACCCAGTCATCTGCCTCGGACGAGGCCACATTAGTGAGAAACTCGTTCTGGCAAACACCTGTCCAACCTTGGAAATCTCTGAAAGAGCACGTCTGGACACTCCCAGGCCTTAAACTCTGCTGTTGAGCTGCAGTTACAATAAGGCGGTTATTTTTTGCAACCTTTTGCCCAGATCCACTGCCTTGCAGCCTTTGCTGCCATTTTTTTTTAAAAAAAGTCTATGACATGCTAAGCTTCTGTCTGAATTGGACTGCTCCGCTGCAGTTTGGAGCATGACCATTTTAAAAGCTGGATTACTGACCTTCGAGTTCTCTTTTAACTAAATGCAAGCTGTCCACGTGGCCCTCAAGCACTGTTTCCCCCTGACCTTGGCGCTATACTACAAACCCGCTTGCTTTTATTCCAATTTAACGTCCTCCACAAATAATCCGGGGAAGTGGAGCTTGGCCAGGGGGATTACCCGAGCTAACTGAGGGTTCATTCCCCACACTCCCCATTCCTAACACACTTGTGCCAGAAAGATCCCGGAGCATCAGCATCAAATGTACATTGCATAATTTCTCCTTGCCACATTGGTGTTGGTGTTTTCTTGGTGCAGAATATTGATGTGTCGTAGTTCACAAAGATTATGCAAAGCCCTGGCGATCCTTGATTTTCCTTGGGGGAACTCACCTGCCGCCCCTGAATAATAAAGTATATTTTAAAGCCCTCCTCACTCGGCATCTCATGCCTTTTCTTAAACGTTTTCATTACGTCCTTTATCACTAGCGAAATCCGAGCCCTACAGCTACTTGCTAAGGGGAAGGCTCCGCGAAGGTGACTCTGGAAGGGCTCTTGCAGCTTTATTGGTGCAGAGCAGGTAGAAGTTCAGCCGGTGAGGTCCTTTCCCCAGAACAGAAATGAAGGGGTGGAAAAAGCAGTGCGTGCTGACTTCCAGCTGGTAAAGGTGCCAGGCTGTGACCGGCAGTCTAGCTTCCCGGCCCTCTCCCAGGGATGAGCCATGACTTCTGTGGGGCTTCCAAGGAGCTCTTCTCCACGAAGAGATGGTCTCAGGTGAGTGCCAGCTCCAACTTCACCATGCAAGAACCAGAATGGTGGCAGCTTGCCTTCGGCAGGTCCCACTTTCCTGTCTTCTGACGGAGCTTCAAGCTTCGTGCCCCCGAGGAGCCAAACTGAAGCGAAGTCGTTTTGCCAAGAAGAGCATCGTGCCGGTTTCCGCTCTGGGCAACAGCCTTCTAACGCACAGTGTAAAGCAGGCAGCTTGGAACGGGCTGTTGCTGGGGCAGAACTCAAAAGGGTTGGGGGCCACCAGCCGGGGGCTGCCTGCCCTTGTGGGCAAGACAGAGGTGGGCAGCGCTTGGTGGACATCCAGAGCAGAAACATCAGTGGAGACTTCCGGAGCCTGCCCTTCAGGGCAGAAGCATCTCTCGCCGAGGCTGCCTCCCAGGCCTGGGGTCTCCTTTGCGGGAATAACTTAAGCAGCAGAGGGGAGACCCCGCAATGGGCAGGGAGTGGGGGCTGGTCTGGAGGATCTGAGGCATTCCTTCCGACTCAAGCGTTCTTTCGACATGTCAGGAAAGCGGCGACAGATGAAACCCTGACGGCCACCACCAGCAAAAGCCTTGACTGCCTGCTCGGGGAGGCAGAGCCGAGCTTCCTTCTGGCTTAAAGAGGAAAACGGGTCAGCACTCCTTCAGGAAGGGAGCACATTGGCTCCATCGGCTGGCTCTGAATTTTTTGGCAACGGTGGCTTCTGGTCCTAAGAGAGATGTGATTCCCACAATTCCACTTTGCCCTTTCCTTCCTTCCTTCCTTCCTTCCTTCCTTCCTTCCTTCCTTCCTTCCTTCCTTCCCTCCTTCCTTCCAGTGAACTGAACAGGAACTTTAGCTTCCTCCTGTTCCTCACAACAGGAATTCCCTCCAAAATGTCAATTGCGAAGCAGGTGAAACAAGACCACGGAAAGGAGTGCCGAGGCAACTGAGTTCTGCACACCTTTGGCGGATCGAAGGAACAATCAGTCATTTAAAAAAGCGAGGGCAAAGTGCGGGGTGGGGGGGTACAGAGCACTTTGTTTATGAATCGCCCTCGGCCAGTAAGTTATTGACTTCCAGAGGGGGGAGAAAAGGAGAGTTTTTGACAAGAAAGGATTGCTCTGCAAACAAAAGACCCAGCCGTGGAGAGCAGACGGCTTCACAGCTGCCTCTGCAGAAGAAAGGGAGAGCGAGGGGCGGGGAGAGAGAGGCGCAGGCGAGGACAAGAGGACGGATGGACGGACGTCCTCTCCGGCAGTCTGGAGAATTTCCCGTGTGGATTTTCATAGCACCAACGTCTCGACGATGCATCTTACCCTCCCGTAAGGAAAAGGGGCCCCGTTGCTGCTGCTCCCGGGGCCCGCTCAAAGGGTGTGTGCTCCTGGCAGGTTGCTTCCCAAGGTGCCGCTTCGGAGGACGGAGGCTTGCGGGCCACGGCTGTGGGCTCCAGGGTGTCTTTAGTAACAGGCAGACAGAAGACGAAAGCTGCGATCGCTCGGCTCGTCGCTTGCACGGGTTAGCGGCCTGCTTCCACCTTAATGTGCAAAATCTTGGAAAAGCCGGGCCTCTTCTTCAGGGCCTGGAAGAGAGGCACAGTGGGAGCACGCTGCACGCCAGAGCGCCTGCTCCGGGTAGCGGTCGGGGCCAGGGCGCCTGGATCCGGCCCACCTGCCCTCCTGGGCCAAACGAGCTCTGGCCCTTGGGGACCCTCTGGCTCGAGGGAAGCGGCTCGGGGGGGATGTGCCAGGCACCTCCTTTCCGGGCACCCCTGCTGCGTGGCGTCCGCTCTGGAGCCGCCAAAGCCCGTCAGGCTATGGGTTCTCACCCGTCTGCCCATCAGAGGAACGCCCGGGCCTGAGATGAACCCAGTGGGGCCGTCTGGCCCAGGACAGTGGGGCCTCTTTCAGCCCAAGGGCCCGAGTCCATCTCAGAGGATCAGCCCCGGGAGGCGTCCCGGCGGCGGAAGGGAAGGAAGGCCACCGTGGTCGTGCCAAGGCAACAGGCCGCACCAGGAATATCAGCATATTCCAGCTGTTGCTGGTGGCTAACCCTTAGGGGAAGCATATTTTACTGCAGGGAAGGGGCAGAACTGCGAAAACCGAAGGGCTGGGGAGGAGGTCCTGGGAAGGGGTCCTTGTTCTCAGCAAACCACGCAGGGCTGGACTGGGCCCCTTGGCCTCAGATACACACGCCTGCTCTAACCCCAGTTCCCATCAGCAGCCACGGGGCTGCTCCCAGGGAGCCGCGGCAACAGCCCCCCACCCATATTCGGCTGCCTTCTGTCTCTGAAGGTGGGGTGGGGTCTAAGCGCCCTGAGTTGCTGCTGAGAGCAGTGATGGCTCCGTGAAGCCGAGAAAGGTCTTTTGGCTAAATCCAGGAACCGCCTCTTTTGCGGGGGAGTCACGGCATGGCTCAGCCCAGTACCAGAACACCTCCTGCACCTGCCATTTTAAGTACAGGTAAGGTGACAAGTGGCTGGAGAGCAGCACTTGCGAAAGGGACCTCGGGGTGCTGGTCGACTGCAGGCTGAACGTGAGCCAGCCGTGTGATGCGGTGGCCAAGAGGGCGAGCGCCACCCTTGGTTGCATAGCCAGAAGTGTGGCTTCTAGAGCGAGAGAGGTGTTACTGCCACTCTACACGACTCTGGTGCCCCCGCAGTTGGAGTATTGTGCTCAGTTTTGGGCCCCCTAGGAAGGATAGAGCCAGGTTGGAGTCAGTGCAGCGTAGGGCCACAAGGTTGGTGGCCGGTTTGCAGGGGATGCCATATGAGGCGAGACTGAGGGAACTGGGTCTCTTCAGCCTGGAGAAGAGGAGACTCAGAGGGGATCTGTTGGGGACATACAGGTATGTGAGGGGGTGTCACACGGAGGTGGGCAGAGACCTGTTCTCCCCTGCAGTGGAGGGCAGAATGCGCTCCAACAGAGCAAAGCTCAGGGAACCCAGGCTCCATTTAGATGCCAGGAAGCGCTTCCTGACAGTCAGGACCCCGAGGGTGTGGAATGGGCTTCCACGGGAGGTCGTTGAGGCCCCATCGGTGCGGGTGTTCAAGGATAGGCTGGACCTGCACATGGTGGGCATGTCATGAGCGGAGCCGGCTGGTGCTGGAGGTCAGATTAGATGGCCTGGGAGACCCCTTCTGACTCGCTCTGTTTCTATGTTTCTAAGTCATCATTCTATTTCTTGGAAGCTAAAGCATGACCGAGGCTGTTGAATTCCCTCCTCCCTTTCGACAGGTAAAAGACTGGTACTATAACACCGGGAAGTTAAACGTTCACTTCTCATGAAACAAGGGATAGCAGCCCTCACAGTGTTTTCGGTATGTGAGATGGCATAATGATGTTATTTATTTATTTGATTTATATGCTGCTTTTTTCTTACAGAGTGGCTTGCGTCATTCCCCTCCTGCTGCTATCAATCTTATTCCCACAACAACAACCCTGCGAGGCAGGCTGGGCCGAGAGTCTGTGACTGGCCCAAGGCACCCAGGTGGCTCCATGGCTGAGCGGGGACCAGAACCCAGATCGTCTGAGTCCCAGTCCCGTGCTCTGACCCACTACGCCACACTGCCTCTCTTAAAAAAAGGGGCATCTGCACATGTCCAGCTGGCCATCCAAGGGGTTCTCCCTCGGACTTCCCCTGGGCTGAGAGGCCCTGCCCTTTACTTCAGGACCCATGCCCACGGCTGCTCTCCTGCAAACAAAGCTGCATAACAGCACTGTTGCACTCCACGTTTATTTTATTTTATTTATTTATTTTTCGATTTATATCCTGCCTTTTTCCGACAAAGGGCTCATGGCAGCTGACATCATCTCTCCTCCTCCATCTTATCCCCACAACAACAACCCTGTGAGGTAGGCCGGGCTGAGAGTCTGTGACTGGCCCAAAGTCACCCAGCTGGCTCCATGGCCGAGCGGGGACCAGAACCCAGATCTCCTGAGTCCCAGTCCCGTGCTCTTAACCACTGCACCACACTGCCTCGCTTTCATACGCTACTCTCCCATGAATGCACATGTGATCTTTGCTCAGCTTTGCTGGAGGTTATCAATAACGGATGCATCCAGATTCAGGCTGTTACTTGAATAATTCTATTTCAGGATTGCTGATTTGGGATGTGTTTGCTTTTATTTAGATTTTGGTTTGTTCCGGTAATAACAAATAAATAAATTCACAATGACAAATAACTTCACAATGGCAAATAAATAAATTCACAATGACAAATAAATAAATTCACAATAAATTAAAAAACTAAATGAAACAAACCCTGATGCACTGTGGCCAATGGGATCTCAGTATGGGGGGGGGGTTAACCAATGCTATGCTGGTTTCTCAGTTGAATCTGCTGCGATTCACTCCAGTACTGAAAAGAGACACTGCACCAAGTATGAACGTACGTGTGTGTGTGTGTGTGTGTGTGTGTGTGTGTGTGTGTGTGAGAGAGAGAGAGAGAGAGAGAGATCATCAGAGCAAAGAACAGATTGAGGATGTGATCTTCGAAAAAAGTCCAGCAAGTCTACAGCCGGCTGGAGAATTCTGGGAGCTCTCTGGGTGCATTGGGCCGCATCCTCAGACTGGGAATGATCAGGACAGTGGAGCTGGGGAAAGGGTGAACTCTCCCAGTGCTGCAGCCCCGATGGGGACCCCCCCACCACCATTCTACGCACGCAGCGCTGTTGGCTGCCTTAAAAGAAAAGAAAAAACCGGACGGAGGCAGAGCGGTCCTCGGGGCGAGTTGCGATCATCAGCCCTCCGCAAAGCAGTAAGAGTCGCCATTCAATGATGGTTCATGGATCAGAGCACAGGAGTAGAAATTCAACCCCTGCTGGAAGAGAACCCTAAATTGCCGCCTGAATTCAGGCACTGAAGACACGCGGGGCCCAATCCTGCGGCCTCACAGCGCGGTTTGCGGGGAGTGGGATGAGCTGGAGAAGCGCTCCCGTGGAAAACGTGCTGGGGCCGGAGCAATTCTTCCCACGCTGACGGCGGCTCCAAAGTCCGAAGCCCGACGGTGGGGCGACCGTGTGTGTGGGTGTCCAGGGGCAGTGGGGAGGGAGGCCGGGGTCTCCTGAAGCATCCCGTGGTGCCTCCACCCGCCTTCTCGTGAGGAGCCAGAAAGCATTTGGGCAGCCGGATTGGCAGCGGAAGCCGGATGTCCAGCATCAACACACTTTCTGCTTTCTGTTGGGGGCTGGTCACGCTCCGCGAGTGAACAGTTACATAGAAACACAGAGAGTCAGAAGGGCCCTCCCAAGCCATCTAGTCTGACCCCCGGCTCCAGCTGGCTCTGCTCACGACAAATTGTGGGCAGCTGCGGTGCAGGACAATTTAATTAACATGCCTAATTGTTGTTCAGCACTGAGCTGCCTTGGTGCTCATAAGGGAGGCATTGATTGGTTTCTGCTGTCACCTCTGGCCCTTGTGTGGTGTCGTGATGAAGAACGCGGGACTGGGACTCAGGCGACCCGGGTTCCAGTCCCCGCTCAGCCATGGAGCCAACTGGGCGACTCTGCGCCAGCCACTGCCTCTTAGCCCAACCTCCCTCACAGGGCTGTTGTTGTTGTTGTGGGGATAAGATTGAGAGCAGAAGGAGGAGAATGATGTAAGCCACTTTGCATTCTTTCAAAAAGAAAAAAGTGGGATATAAATCTAATAAATAAATATTAAGTTATTTATGTATTTATCATGCTTGTATGCTGCCCCATAGGCAAAGGATCTCTGGGCAGCTCACAGTGTGCCATATAAATCTATTTAAAATACAGATAAAAATAAATAAATAACAGTAAGAAACAAAAGCATAAAGCATAGTAAAATTAAAATACGAGGGGTCTTCAAAAAGTTTCTGCACTTTTATATTTTGCATTTTATAAATATATTTATATATTTATATTTAAACATTTATATGTATATAAATTGATGTCTATTTATACATTTTTTGCTGATGGCATTAGAAAGTTGGTACAACGCTGGGAAAAAGGCATCGCAAAGGAAGTGATGTGATGTGATTTGTTTTCGAAATTCTTAATAAATAGATTTTAAAAGGTGCAGAAACCTTTTGAAGAACTCTTGTACAGTATAAATACGACCATATACATAGGAAACAGGAGGAGAATAAACGGTAAACAATACAACAATCAACCAGCAGCAAACAGACACTAAAGAAAAAAGTCTTGACTTGGCGCAGAAAGCAAGATAAAGGGGGTGCCCGTCGCACCCCTTGGAGGAGGATCCCAAAGGTGAGGAGCCATGACCGAGAAGACTCTTTTTCTTGCCAGTTCCCCCGTCCCCCCATCACCATCTGGGGGATCCACGAAGGAGGGCGGGGATTTATGGCAGGGAAATGATGGCAGGGGGACGGCCATCAAGATGTTTGCACGTTCCGTATTTTTAAATTTGGGAGAGGGTCCGTCTCTCCACTCAGGCCTCAACCTCGTGGGATCGGACTGCATGCTTACCTGGTTCAGGGAGGCAACCTGGGCTCTCGAGGTGTTCTGGACTACAACTCCCCACAGCCCACCCAGCGGGGCCGATAGTCAGGAAATGTGGCCATTCTGGCCCCGCGTCTGCTTTGCAATCACATAATTTCCAAACCCCGGCATGCCAGGTTATCTGTCAGAGGCCTGCAAAATGGGGACTACCTGCTACTTTTATGCCCCTGCTGAACCTGAAGGCTGACTTGCATCCTGAATCTGTGAGCAAGCCCCAGGGAGGGGCCCCTTCGCCCACAGAGGCCCTCAGCTGTGTCCTGATGTGCGTGGCCCTCACAATCCCCAGGACCTCAGTGAGGCAGCTGGGCTTGCAGCCGCCAGCTCCGGCCTTCCTGAAGTCAGGGGGGCTTCTCTGGGGCAGGTTTCCCTCAGGCACTTTGGCCTCCTGCTCCCCCATTCCCAAAACACAGACTTGGGCAGGCCCTGGCTCAACAAGTCCCTTCAAGTGCCTAGTCCCTGGCACCCTCTCCCAGGGATTGCCTTGGTTCCGCATCCCAGACCTGCAGGCAGGGCTTGCAGCGAGCAGGTGCCGAAATGCCGTTACCTGCAGCTTGTTGACCATTTCCTCAAACATCTTCCTGGCCTCAGAACTGTTTGGCTCCTTGAAGTAGTCGGTGATCCCAACCTGTACCACGATGGACTTCAGGTTCCGGCAAACACCTTCGAGGCAGAAAAACACCTTTAATTTGAAGAGCAGGACCTACCAGTCCTACCTTGCCTTTTAGAGGCGGCCAGAGGATCTAAGGTAAATGATTGCCTGCAATTTAGGGTATTAAAAATCATATTTTCAATGCATTGCCAATGAGAACCCCCATGCTGGAGAAAGTAGGTTCATGAGAACTTCCATGCGCTTTCACCCCAAAAGCCCTCTCCATAATACTATAGAATTCTGCAAATTTTACTTTTAATCACAACCTACAATATGAGGCAGGAATTTTGTTCTTCCAAGTTCCTGCTAGAAATTGCCTGTTCAGTATTTATGCTTATAATCAGTTTGCTTAGGTCACTCAAGGCTTTGAAAAGAGACTGCTTGCTTCTACCCCGCTTTTTCTTTAATTAATAGGGCTGCTGGATTTTAATTAGTAGATTAACTGACAAAGCCGATCAATTAACAGATTCATGAATTAGTAGATTTAATCAGCAGCGATGAGAGTTAAGGGCATTTCGAGGTATTTTAGCTCTGCTGCAATAGGGAGTGAGACAGAAAATAATCTTAAAAGCCACAATTCTCAGTTCTGGTAAGCATCCTACTCTGAGCTATCTTTTAAAAAATCACCCTCAACTGAAGATTGAGTTAATTAATTGATTGCAACACTTCTATAGAAATAGATTCTATATAGATTCTGGAGTGGTGAACAATGAAAAGATAAAAAAGAACAAAAGATGGTATTAAAACAAAACAGCAATAAAACAGTGGCTGGTCAGCAAGGAAGGCCGAGCGGGACAAATCCGCCTTCGACAGGCACCCAAAGTGACACGGAGGCCACGAGTCCCACCGGATCTTCTTTGGACGGATGTCAGTCAGACCAGAGGCCCATTTCCCATTTCTCAGCATGCAATGCCAGCCAATTAATTTAATTAATGATTAATGAATTAATTAATCATCCAAATTGTCTCAAATCAAATAAATTCTTCAATGCATTTGCAGCCTGGTCCAAATCGTCCGAAAAGAATGGAAAAGATTGTTTCTAAGCATAACCGCCATGGAAGGAAAAATTGGGGTGGGAGATGAAGCTGATGGGGAGGGGGATGCAAACCCTTCCCTGCCAGGCTGAAATCCCCCTTGGAAATCCCCCCTCCGATGGTCAGTGAGCTGAGAAAACAGCCCCCCGGTGCCCTCAGTGCGCCTCTGGGGCCCTTTGAAGCAGATCTGGGCTCTGCGAAACCTACCTGCGGCCCAGGCCTCCGGGGCTCCACCCTAGTCATGACCCGACGAGGAACGGGAGGGTCGGGATACAGGATGCCGAGCGCACCCTGCGATCTAAAAGCCTTCTTCACGGTCCCCGTGCTTCACACACAAGCACTGTGCGCCTACCCAGAGCCAATGCCAGGACGGCCTTCCTGACTCTGCGCCCTTCTGAGGTGCTGGAATACAGTGCCCATGCTCCAGCTACGGGCTGCCGGCTGGGGGGCAAAGGGTTTGATTTATCCTTTATTATGATTATTTATTTAAGACTTTCGTACGCTGTCCGGGTACTACTGTCTCGGAATGGTCTTCCAGTGAAAGCAAGATAAAAGTAAAGCGTGGCATCCGGGAACAAAACCACACATTACAAACCTATCAGCTCTATACTTGAACACCTCCAGAAGGCACCAGGATATGGGGAAATTGCAGCACTGCATCAAAAGGGCTGAAGCTGCATTTGACCAAAGGCCTATCAGCCCCAGCGGCCCATCTCCGACAATGCCCGGTCGGCGGAGATTGGGCACCGAGCTCCCCTTCCCCACTTAACCGGCTGTCCCAGTGGCGGCCGTCCGGTTCCTGGCTCCTGGCTTTTCGGCCCTGGAACCCGCTGGAATTTTCCCGACCCATGTGCCCCGCACGTTCCTCCTCCCGGCCCCCTCAGGGGTTTCCACTCACTGTTGAAATGCAGCAGCGCTTTGGGGGTGACCGGCGTGGAGGTCAGAACCAGCATCTCCAGGCCCTTCAGGCCCTCTCGACACACCTCGGCCGCCACCTCCTGGTTCACTTCCATCACGTGGTCCAGTTCCAGCACTTGGAGGCGCATGCAGTTGCGGGCTGGTGACAGAGAGGCACACTTGGGGTGTTGCCGGTGGCGCGCCTGGGGTCTGCCAAGCGCAGGACGTGCGCCCACCATCACGGGGGCCTTTGACGGTTCCCTTGGTTGTGTGTTGGTTTGCCGGTGCAAAACGGCCTTCCCTTCTGGGGCCCAGTTCAAGGAAAGGGCCCCACTGCAACGTAATCTTTTCTGGGGAATAGGGGACTTCGGTTCTCAAGGAAAATGATCCCCACACCCTGGGGCTTGGCCCCGTGCCGCCGTTTCCCCCAGAACGCCAGTCTGACAGCACGATGTTCCCCGAGGTCGCTGGGGAAGGGAAACGGGCTGCTGGTGATGCCACCAGATGGAGCTGTGGGTGACGAGGGTCCATTTTACCTCTGACTCAACTTCTCACCCAGAACTAATGGGGGCTCTTGCCCCCCACTGCATCTCTATCCTGCCCCTCCCCACGTCCAGCTCAGTAGCAGACATAAGACGGGGGCTCGCTCAGAGGCCTCAGCAAAGGCCCCAAGGGCCGAGGTGGTGCGGTCAGTCTATGGCCCTCCAGAAGTCGCCCCGACTGCACCATGGCCTTTGCTGGCTCAGGCTGATGGGAATCTCAGTCCAGCAACTGGGCTGGACCGGAGGACCTTGCACCTCGGGAAGCAAGCCATGTGGCACAGGCCAGAATAAAGCGCTGGAAGTCTTTCCGTGCCAGAAGCACCCAGCCTAGCTCTCCGTTTCTGTCCTGCCAGATCAGCTCCCCACCTGGCTTCAGCTCCAGCACACACCTCCAGGGTTGGAGAGCCTTGATCCAGGTGCGGCCTCAGGTTTGCCTCCAGCAGATTGGAGGACGTGTGTTTATACTGGCACTGGCCTGGTTCACTGAGCCCATGGTTAACCCATGGTTTGTTGTACTACCCAGAGTTTGCCCGGCAGATGCTCAAACTGTGGTTTCTCAGTCCCTAGGCTGCTTCCATTCTTCTTCATCTCCTCCCTCTCTGCATCCTGTGCCTTTGAGGAACTGTAGTGCTGGCACATCAGTTGGTGGTTTTTTTCTTTTAACCTCTCACCTCTTGCCTGCCACCTCTGTAGCCTGGCCAAACAATCCATGAATAAGCCACAGTTCAGGATTCACGTGTAACGATAACCCAACAATGAACCGTGGGTTCTCTTTCTGGGTTGTTTGTCATTACCATCCCATGGTTTATTAGCACAGTTGGGTCCATGCATCAAGACAGCTCAGAATTCAACAATCCATGGTTGTATGGACCAAGGGTTAGCATTATGTGCGAACCAGGTCACCATAAAGTTTTGCATGACATGATTCAAAAAAGGAAGCAAAGCAGCCAGTTTGCCTTAAGGGCTGTCTCCTCTCCAGGGCAGAAACACCACTGGAGTCGCCATATCTGGGGGCAACCTGCTGCAAAAGGACCCGAGTTTCCCATGGCCACTCCTGCCCCGCCTGCTGAGCGTCCACGAAGCCAGGCTTACCTAGGGAGGCCAGTCCCTGGATGCCACAACCTGCCCCGCCGACTCCCAGCGCCCTCAAGTGGGGCCAGCAGCGGCCGATCATCTGCAGGCAGCGGTTGCTAAAGCGGGTTGGTTGCTGGCTGGAAGAGAATTTTTGCAGAAAGGAAAGCAGAGGGGAAGCTGATCAAAGCATTCCTGATTTACATAATGTCATTAGCAGGCACAAATTAGGGGGAAGAATGTGTCATCTGTCCAGGCTTACAGGAGTTCAGCACAGCTTGAATTGGAGCAGGGGAAATGGATGGCGTTCGACTTCAGTCCTGTTTTTGTGGGGGTGGGGGCAGGGAACGGATGGTGGTGCAGGATTTTTCCAGATGATGGCTTCACTGCACTTATGGGACTGGGGAAATGGAGATAAGCATCTTTCTGAAACTATGCTGGATATTTCCTTTTTCAGAAAATCATGTCTGAATTGGCACCAGTTTGAATTCTTTCTTCTTTTCTCTGGCACAGCTTTCCTTTCTAATGCTATAATGCGGCACAGTCTGCAAAGGTCGTTTGCGACTGAGGTGCTGGGGCACTCCAGGGTGCTTGGGGACTGAATCTGGTACCTCCGGCATGCACTGGAGCTTCTCTTCCCCTGAGCCCTGGGTCCTGGAGGTACTGGGAATTGGACCTGGATCTTCGGCATTCAAGGCCGGTGTCCTCCCACTAAGCTGCAGCTTTCTGCTAGGCCAACTTCTCCCAGGAAAGACAAGAATTGTAGTGGAACGCCTCTGGAAGCTACTGCTTTGGGGAAGGCTGGTTTAGACTGTGGCCCAAATGCTAAATGCAGTGTCTGGGTTCAGAAATGATAACCCAGACTCTAGGGTTGAGTGTGGGTTGTCACTGAAAGCTGGGTTATCATGAGCTTGGCTGTGATAACAAGCCATGGTTGGTTTCCCACAAACTGCCCATGGAAAGGATCCATTGCTTGACATTGGGCTGCAAACTGTGATTTATTTGTGGTGAGTGAACCATGGTTTGTTAGCATAGTTGTGTTTGGACATGATAAGCCACAGTTCATCAACGAAATGGTTCAATGAAAACCCCCATGCAATTCATGCTCAACCCTAGTGCGGTTACCATCTTGTCTGAACCAAGCCAGTGTCTTCTTGTTCGAACTTTCTGTATTCATGTTTTGGAAACTGTAGTCACTGAATTGTGAGTATCCATATCAAGAGTTACACAAGACACACTTCCCCAGTAAAGAAATCCACCCCAGCATCTTGAACGGGCACCCAAACCTTCGCAATAGAACCTCCGTTTCAGGAGGCATGTTCACAGATGCCAAAACCCAGGTGTGTGTCTGTGCAGCACCAGTTCACACATGCACCGTCATCATTTGAACACCGCCTGATCACCCTCAGGGGTGCGAGGAGACCTTCGCCATCAGAGCTCTTGCAGCTCCAGGGAGCAGCGAGGCAGCCACTTCCTCTCTTCTGGCTGCATCGGCAAGAGAGTTCTGGATTTCTTTCCCTGATATTAAAAAAATGGCTGGGACAATGGCACAGTCTGCATAGATGGGTGGGCGAAGAAAAGAGGCCCAGCACCGTCCACTCAGTCCTTTTCTAGCTCAAAACCATACTAACGAAGCCGCTCTTCCACTCCTACCTGGAAAAGCTTGGGGTCCCTGCGCTGCCCTGCACCTGCCTTCCCGCAGGGGAAAAGTCCGCTTGGGAATGATGGTTTTGACTTGAAAGACATTTCAGGAGGGGAATGGGCTGCGCAGGTGCCACACATAGAAACACAGATACAGAGCGAGTCAGAAGGGGCCTCTGGGGCCATCTAGTCTGACCCCCGGCTCCAGCCAGCTCTGCTCACGACATGCCCACCATGTGCATGTCCAGCCTGTCCTTGAACACACACACCGATGGGGCCTCAGCCACCTCCCGGGGAAGCCCATTCTACACCCTCGGGGTCCTGACTGTCAGGAAGTGCTTTCTGGCACCCAAATTGAACCTTGGCTCCCTGAGCTTTGCTCCGTTGGAGCGCGTCCTGCCTTCCTCTGCAGGGGAGAACAGGTCTCTCCCCACCTCTGTGTGACACCCCCTCACATACCTGTATGTCGCCAACGGATCCCCTCTGAGTCTCCTCTTCTCCAGGCTGAAGAGACCCAGTTCCCCCAGTCTCTCCCCATATGGCTTTCTCTGAAATCCGGCCACCAACCTTGTGGCCGTGTGCTGCACTGACTCCAACCTGGCTATAGCCTTCCTGTAATTTGGAACCCAGAACTGAGCACAACTCTCCAGCTACAGGTGCACCAGAGTCGTGTAGAGAGGCAGTAATCCCTCTCTCGATCTAGAAGCCACGCTTCTGGCTGTGCATCCAAGGGTGGCGGTTGCCCTCTTGACTGCCGTGCCACATTGCTGGCTCATGTTCAGCCTGCAGTCGACCAGCACCCCGAGGTCCCTTTCGCAAATACATGGATCCAACTGGGACTATGCTAAAGAGGGAATGGGATTAACCCTTCCCTTCCCATGCCATTTTCCCAGTGAAAATCGCCCCACCTGATGCTTCTAGTACGGGACATTCTGGTGTTTCCTGTATCGGTGGAACTCACATGCATCGCAGCCTCCATCCTGGCTGCATAGGCGCTCTCCATGGTCCTGAACTGCCCCGCAAACAGGCTCACAACCAAGGAGCACCACAAATAGCTCTCCTCTGGCTCCGAATAGAAACCACAAAGCATTCGGGGTCCTCTGACGAAGAGACCCCGGCCAGCCCTGCCCAGCTCTTGCGCAGTGCGTGTGTGCGTGTCTCTGCGCAGTGCGTGTGTCGGTGTGAGTGCACCCCGCGGCATCCTTACCAAGGGTGCAGGGGTGCCACCTGCAAGGAGATGATGTCCCGGCAGCCTGCTCCTAGTGCCCAGATGACCTCGTGGCCCACGGGATCGGTTGAACTCCTGCAAGAGGGAGGCAGGAAAAGAGGCAGACGGACAAGGTCAGCCGCTGACATTCTCCAGCCCCCGGCAGAGCAGGGCACTGCGAAATGCCTTTCTCAGCTGAAAGAAATGAAGCACCACCTCCTTAACCCAAAGGTCTCTACCAGCTGTATAAAGACAGAGCCCTGCTTCGAAAAGCATTGCTGGCTGGACCCAGGGAGGCTCAAGCCGCCCGGTGCCCGGTTTCTAGCAGTCTCCCCCAGGAAGCAGAGGAGCCGGCTGTGAGATGATTGGCCACACCTCTCTCCCCACAAGCGCCGCTCTTGGGAGACCCACCACCCCTGGGCTGGGGGCTGCGCCTTGTTCCCTGGCTCCTGTAACCAGGCAGCCAACATGGCACCAATGGAGCTGGAACGACTGCAGCGGCCTGCCAGGCAGGTGGCTCTGTGGGAGCTCCAGGAGCTGCAGAAGTAAATACACTTTATTGGGGGAAACGACCTAAGAAGGAGGGAAGCCCTGCCAGGCCTCAGAGTGCTGGTGGGTGAAGGAAAACCAACTGGCAGCCACAAGGTGGGCGAGTATCTATTCATTTGCTGTCTTGCTAATCCACACACGAACAAGTCTTTTCTGGCTGGATTCCAACGTGTAAAAGAATAGACGGCGGGCACAACCCCACCCATCCCTCTTCCTTCCTTGCACAGAAGCCTCCAAACTCGGGGCTTGGGGCATCTGCTGCCTGGAACAGCAGAGGATCTAGAGGGCCTTTTTCAAATGAAGCGGGAGGAAGGAATCCTGGAATGCCGGGAGGAATCGGTGTGCATGATGCTTGGAATCTGTTAAATGCACGTGGCGTTCCTGGATACAGCCTTTCCAGGGGTCAGGAGAGGAGGGGGTGTTGTCTCCAGTGGGGAATCGCTGTGCCTGTGAGGGCTGAGGAAATGCCCGGTTTGTGGGGTGTCCCCTGGGAGGGGGTCCATGCAAATGCCCCTAAAACAATCAGGGGCTGCGTTCTGTTCCGCATTAAGAAGTGCAAAAGGGATTTGGGATTTTATGGCTTGGGATCACCCATGTTCTGCCTCGGGCATCCAACGACCCACTGCTGTCCGGGAGGAGGGGAGGGCCGCAGTGCCAAGACCCCCGGGAGAGCGATCCAGTGTGGCCAAGCAGCCCGGCTCATGAAAAGGAAGCGTGAGTTTTCCTCCTTTTTCAGTGACCCATTTCTATACTTTGGATGAGCCTAAAAATAAGCAAAAATCGCATTATCTGGAACGCTCATACATCTCCGCGGAAGCTGTCTGCCAGGCGTGAGAGCAGTTTGGCATGGTCTTAATTAAAACATATGAGTCACGGTGGCAGGTTCGAGAGCTGCCACGAAGCTCAGGTGCACATGATAATTTCTTCTGGGTGAAGAGAACGGAGGCGAGCAAGCCAGTGGTATGAGAGAGAGACAAAGAGAGAGAGAGAGAGAGAGAGAGAGAGAGAGACTATTATGCGTGTTGGCTGCTGTCCTACCAGAGACAGGTTTCATCCGGCCTGAACTTGTCAGTTCTGACTGACAGCATTTCTCTAGCATTTCATGGAAAGGGGGTACGACAGTGCAGTGGTTAGAGCACTGGACTGGGGCAGGGGGGTGCAAGGTTCTAGCCCCCACTCAGCCCGAAAACTCGCTCACTCAGTCATTTATTTATTTAAAGTTTTTTATATGCCATCCTCACAAAAACCACAACACACCAACAAACAACACACCGCATCTGACCATTAGTGATAAAATCAAAGGTAAAACCAATTAAATATTAAAATGCCAGGAAAATAAAAGGGGTTTTGCCTGATGTTGAAAAGAATAAAGCGAGGCTACCAGGTGAACTTCCCTGGGGGGTGTTCCAAAGTCAGGGCGCCACCGCCGAAAAGGCCCTTCTCCGGGTAAGTACCCCCCCAATTTCCTTCAGCGGGGGCTCCCGGAGGAGGGCCTCTGGGCGGGGAGGCACATCCGGTGCCCCAGACCCGGGGGACTTTGGACCAGCCCTGACTCTCAGTTTAATCCTCCTCACAGGGTTGTTGTGAAGAGGAGACTGAGAGGAGGAGAATTATGTCAGCTACGATAAGAGGAGATATAATAACTAACCTGTTGAGAACTGGATGCAGAAGTCCCTGCATGCCAAGCAATTGCTCTAACCGAGGGATGTTGAAATGCAGGCTTGCAGCCCAAACTGGGCAACCTGGAGTCCCAGTTGGGGGTTCCCCAGTGCCTCACCCCCTTCTTCTAGCCGTACCCCTCTGTTTGGGGACTCCTTGCCTTTGCAGAAGGGCTCCCCCCATCCTAAAAAGCGGAGATGCTTCCTGTAGGCGTTGTGGCCGGCAACTCAAGCGTGCTGGAATGCATGCTCCAGCCCCCCCCCCCCGCCCCCAGCCCACATCTGGAAGGAAGTCCACACGCGCATCCCCAAGCCAGCAATCAGAGCTTGGGCACCCCCGACCTGGGTGCCTTGGGAGAGTTGAACACCTTGCGGGAAAGACGTGGCAGGAGAAACCAACCCAGGGGAATGTGCTTCAGCAGGGCCCCTTGCGGGGGACGCCCCCTCCTCCGGCCCCCTTGGTCTGGCCGGAGGCAACCTGCCTTGGTGTCTCAGCCTCATGAGGAGATCGCCACCCAGAAGGAAAAATCCCCAGTGCCAGGAGACGAGCCACCAGCAAGTGCCCTTCTGCTCCTCCGCAGCCCCCAAAGGGTTGGGTGCGAAGGACCCCCTGCTTCGCTCCAGGAATCCCCTGAGGACTCTTTTGAAGCCCAAATGGGGAGGGGGGGGAATCGCTGCTTCTTGTTTCACTTTGGACTGTGCGAAGAAGGGCTTAGAAACATAGAAACAGAGCGAGTCAGAAGGGGCCTCCTGGGCCATCTAGTCTGACCCCCGGCTCCAGCCGGCTCTGCTCACGGCTTCTGTTGAACTGTCCCAAGTCTTGGCATTATCAAGAAGTAATCCGTGGTCTTAAAATAATCAACAAAATGGAGGTAGCAAAGGTATGGATACCATACAAGATGCTGCAGGATTCCAGCATGCTCACGTTAAGAACCATTCCGATAAAACGAGACCTGATTAAGCCAACCTGTCCATCAGCCTCACAGGGTGGCCCCGTTGCGTTCTAGCATTATGATGGCAGAAAAAGAACGTCTTCCTCGGCTTTCTTCCCCCCATGGAGAATTGTGTACCTCCATATACGATTAAAAGCCAACCCCGCAACAATCCTTTTCCCCTGATGCGTTTTCATTGTTCTGTAAGAATGAAAGATGATGGAGAAGGTGTGCTGCAGGGCCAGAAAGCAGGATAAAGAACAGCACCCCTGCTTTCATTCTTCAGTGGTACAGGCCGCCCTAGTGCTTCAGGCCCCTGGCGCCTCATGACTCCACCACATGTGTGGACCGGCCCATCTTGGACACAGACGGGAGTGCGACCGGCTTCCCTGCAGATCTGAAAACTGCGAAGCTGCACCGGCAGCTTCCTGCAGGCCACAGATTGCTCACTTGTTTTGCAAAGAGCAGCCCACAGTGTCTTGCAGGATCCCAGATGGCTTCTCCACCAGCCCAGCCTCCGAATCCAAGACAATCGCACTGCCTCGTTCACGCTGGGCTGGTCACAACGTTTCTTGCTGCAGTCCCAATAGTGCTCACTGGAGAAAAAACCCTTTTGTTCGCCTGTCACTTTGCCGGACTTGAAGAGAAGACGATGGTCCATTAGGGACTTACGCCCCTGCTGGCTTTTCCTTGCCACATGACAGATGGCGTGGGCCAGACGGTTTGTGGGGCTGTCGGACGAGGCTCCCACCTGCGATGTGGGGCAGAGGAAGAGGAGGCCTCGTCTTCCTCAGGCCACTCAGCCGAGGCCTGCCACCCTTCAGACAAGGTCTGTGCACTGCTTTGGGACCAAATGAAAGATGGAGGCTAACGAGGCCCGTTTGGGTCAGCCTCCCTCTGATCAAAGCAAACCAGCATGATTGTCCTTGCTCACATTCACACCCTTGTGGTACTCATGTGTACCATGCAGGGTTGGGGCTCTGACCCCTTTCCAGCGGGAGCTCACATTGGTTGGCTTCCATCCTCCCTCCCCAGAATGCCACAGAAGCTGTATCACATCTCCGGGGCATTCTGGGAAAAAAATGGTTGCTGCCAGCTGGGCCCTTCCTCTCCATGCTGGGAAAAGTGTCATCAGTTAGTGGGCTGTACTTTCAGCTGCTCTAAAAGGGCCAGGTGAATAAAAAAGATGACATTCCAGGGATATGTGGCTGCACTTTGCCCGATTTTTAAAGTGCAGAATTCTGGAGTATGAAAACAGCATTTTGAGCCAAGAAAAAACAGAAGCCTCCTTACCATATGCACAAATGACAGCAATTAAGCAGATTTGCCTGGATTCGTATTGACTAGTGAGACAAATCTTTGGCCGAATACCTCTCCCCGCAAATGCCTGTGCTGAACTCTGCTGCACTGGTTCAGTTCTGCCCAGCAAAATGGGTGTGGATGCTCCCCTGCAGCTGCAAGGTTCTCTGTGGGGGGAGGACCCTGTTCGCCCCCTTACCGGTAGGTGACAGCTTGCAGTGCTCGGCAGTAGCAGCTGGCCAGCCAGAGGGAGCGATCTGTCAAGATGTTGGGGCAGTGAGAAATCCGGAGAATCAAGAGGTTGCTCCCAGTGGCCTTCAGCAGGGACTCTAGTCCAGCTTCGAGGCAGCCCCTGCGGGTGAGCAACCAACAGAAAAGAAACATAGAAACACAGAAACAGAGCGAGTCAGAAGGGGTCTCCCGGGCCATCTAGTCTGACCCCGGCTCCAGCCGGCTCCCACCATGTGCACGTCCAGCCTGTCCTTGAACACCCGCACCGATGGGGCCTCAACGACCTCTTGTGGAAGCCCATTCCAGACCCTCGGGGTCCTGACTGTCAGGAAGTGCTTCCTGGCATCCAAACTGAACCTTGGCTCCCTGAGCTTTGCTCCGTCGGAGCGCATCCTGCCCTCCTCTGCAGGGGGGGACAGGTCTCTCCCCCCCTCCGTGTGACACCCCCTCACATACCTGCATGTCACCAACAGACCCCCTCTGAGTCTCCTCTTCTCCAGGCTGAAGAGGCCCAGTTCCCTCAGTCTCGCCTCATACGGCATCCCCTGCAAACCGGCCACCAACCTTGTGGCCCTACGCTGCACTGACTCCAACCTGGCCATATCCTTCCTGTAATGAGGGGCCCAAAACTGAGCACAATGCTCCAGTCGCGGGTGCACCAGAGTCTTATAGAGGGTCAGTAATACCTCTCTCGATCCAGAAGCCACACTTCTGGCTATGCAAC